TAGTTTTGTATAATTATTGAGTTCTCTTGTATTGAGAGATCCAATTTCCAGTGATTGTTGTTTTGTATTAGTGGTGGTTTTTTTGTACGTGATTTTTTTGAGGTTTCTTTTGATTGAAAAATTTTTAAGCAAGTTGTTTGTAGTTATCATTGTTGGAAGAAGTTAAAGAATTTTGTTGATAGTTTAGGAAGTTCAATTTGGATGATATATTTATTGGCAAGTCTTTGAAAGGCAAAGTGTTTTCTGAGTTTGTAGATTTTTGTAATAAAGTTGGAGTTATTGATTACGGGGATATCTATTTCGATATTGTTTTAAATCAGATATTTTTTTAGTTCAGGTGGACTTGGGATAAGAGGTTTTCATTGGATTTGAATTCATTTGTCTGGAATTTTGGAGAATTGATAGAATTGATATGTTTTGATGACATTTTCTTTGAGAAATTTTTTGTTTATAATTGGATAGTTTGTGTTTGCTTTTTTATTGATGATATTGAAATCTTTTGGGAGAGATGGTTTGGATAAAGCTGTTTGCACTGTTATATCTTCCTATTTTAAGATATTGATTCACTCTTTTGGCAAGAGTATTTGAAAGAAATATTTTTTTGAAAGAAAATTAAAGAAAGAAGAGATGTTTGTAGGATTTGCTACAGGAAGAGAAATGTTTATTTCTAAGTTTAAAATTTTGTCTGAAAATGAGAGAGGTTTTTTTCTGATGAAGAAGAAGCCATTTGGGAGAAGTTTGAAGTAATAAGTTTTGCAGAGTAATATAATTAATTCTTGGATAGTTATTATACTGTCTCTAAGATTGAAAGGAAAAAAGCTTGAGTATTTGGGTTCAAGTAAGTGATATGTTAAAGGAAGTGATTTTTTTGGAGGTGGAAGTTCAAAGTAGGATTTGGGAAGCTTGGAGAAGATTTGATATTCTTTATATGGATAATTTTTGTATTCAGAAAGTCTGTTTAGCTCACTGCATTTCCTAATTGAAAAAATTTCTATGTTTTTTGACAGAAGTTCGTTAGGATTTTTGGATAGTGGTGGATTGATTTTGAAGTAGTTTTCTGGAAGTTTTTGAAATTTGTAATAGGATTTGAGTGTGCATAAAGTTGGGATGAGTTGAGATTTGTTTTTCATAGGAAGGTTATATGGTAATTTGATTTTGATTTGAGATAGAATTTCAGTTGGGGAGGATGGTAGTTTTGATAGAATATTGTTGGTATATTCCTTGAGTTTTTCCTTAAGTTTTGTATAGTCGACATAAGATTGTGATTTTTGATAAAATAGTTGATGAGATAGGTAAGGAGATTGGCAAGTTCATAGAAGGCAATATTGTTGATATCAATAGTTCTTAAATAGATAATTGACAAGATAGTGCAAATGATTACTTGGATTTTTTTTTTGTTTCAAAATTAACAAAGTTAAGGTTGCATTCCTTTTTGTATTTTTCTTGGAAATCTTTTTCTATTTTGTTGAATTTTTTTTGATGGGCTGGTTTGATGTTCTTTTTGATTATAAAGAAATTGAAGAAGGTACAGTCTTTGAATTTGAGTTTGTTGAAGATTGGTTGAAAGAAGTAAGGTAGGTATTTAAATAATTTCCTGATTTTTATAATTATGTTAATAATTGTGTTGATGTTATTGGGCATTGGGAGCAGTTGGTTAGCTAGTTGTTCTATCTCTTTATACAGAGTTTTATATTGCTTGTTATCACAGATTTGTTGAAGTTCTTCTTTGATTTCACAATCGAAGGAAGATGACTATATGTTTGGTTGGAGAGGTTGAGTGAGTATAGTATTAAGGCTAAAGAGTTGATCAAGATTGACAACATTTTTAAAGTTGATTAATTGTGATTGGTCTGTTGGTTTGATTTCGCTGATGTCCATAAAGCTTGAGATGGTAAGAGAGTTGTTAGGAAAACTGATTATTTGTTGAAAGTGAAATATGTTTGATTGTGTGGGTTGATAGGAGGAGAATCCAAATTAGAAAGTTTTATTGATTCATCAATTGTTTCACTAATTTCTGTGAGATTGCTGGATTGAGCAGTTTTTGAAGTAATAGATTGAGGGTTTGTTTGTGTATACGTTGTGGCTGTTTGATCAACATTTCTTTTTTGGGAGACAAGAAAAGTAATAGATGGATAATCATTTTCAAGGGTAAACCAGTTGGAGTTTTTTGTTGTTCCTTGAGAAAGGAAGAGAAATTCTTGTAGACAATTGTTAAGTTCTGTATTGAGTTAAATTTTTTTTATTTTTTTCACTATGTTGCTAACATATTGAAAGTTGAGAAAGATGTTCCTTTGATTAGAGAGTTGGATATGGGTTTGGAAGAGTCTCTTTTGATCTTTTTTTTTGGTCATTTCCATTGTGAAGTTAATAATGTGAAAACCATTGGTAGAGTTTGTTTTGATAATTTCTTCAATATTTTTTTCTTCTTTAATGATAAGGAATTGGTTAGAGAAGTTTATACATGTTGCTGAAATTCATAGATTCTTGATGCAATTGACGCAATTATTTTGATGCAATTAATTGAGTTACTATTAAAACATATAAATAATTGAGTCATGACACAATTATTTTTGAGGATTTTAGAAATTAAGTCAATAGTAAAGTAATTTATGCCACATGTATAGAAAAGTTTGAGAGGTTGATAATAAGAAGGGTTCTTGCAAATTCTATTTGGATAATTATATTGTTATCAAGGTCAAGATAGTAAATTTGAAAGAGTTAGTTCCAGTTCTGATAAATAGTAGTATATAGGAATTGCTTTTTATTGCTGCTTGTTGATAAATACTCCATGATTAGGAGTTAGTTATCAGTTGAGAGCACTTGAAAGTGCTTGGGAATGAAAAGTTTCTTGAGAAAGTTTGTTACTAAATAAGGAAATTTTTAAGTAAAAAATTAATTGTCAGTATATTAAATTATATATATATACAGTATATATATATTTTTTGTGTTTAACCAGCTGGGCCTTGCCTAGTGTACTTTATTATTTTATTCATATATGTATTTTATATATTACAGGAACTATTATCTATGAACAATTCTACATATCACTAGACTATATCAATTTTACTTCATATTGGCTTGTTGCTGTCAGTGTCACCCCAGAAGAGTTGTACTAAGGCTAATATGCCAAAGTTCCATTAGCGTTATTATTATATTGTTATGTTCTATTTGACATTGTAAAATTTTTAAAGGGAAGTTTGAATGTGGGAAACTGAGGTAATACCTATTTTTGGTAAATAGAACTACTGCAGAAAGAATCCTTCTAAACCCAACCACCTGCAGATAGGCGTACCATTTAATTTCCACTTTCCTAGAGCTACTCAAGAATGTTTAAGGAACTTATTTCACAGACTTACGACCCATAGATTGTTTCAGTTATCGGTACTTACTGCTGTTTTGGCTGCCTTCTCAGGATAGGTAATTGTTAGAGCAATCTATTACTGGATTGGAATAAGGCCTTTCTGGAAACTTGCAGGAAGAGACACCAAGTACCACAAGGAAACGATCACCAAGCCATCTTTTACCGAAAGCAGACACCTCATGCACCTTATAACTTCTGGTGATTATTGTAATACCAATTGGATGATAATCGCACCACAACACCTTTTCTGAAAATCACAATTTCAATGCCCACTGGATCAGTATGTGAAACGGCTTCTCATGAGAAACAACACTTATACAGGTTATGGCATCAGATATCATATTAATTCTATTCAACTGTTTTTATATGGGATTGAACTGGTATCTTGTAATTTGACCTGTAGAGTATTAACCACTACACTATAGATCTACAGGTCATATATTAAATTATATTAAATGTAGTACTTTAATATTTGTTTTAAAAAATATATTAAATAATCATATTGTCTTTATAAAAACTTCACATTCCAATATTATTTGAAATGAAACTATCATTAATCAATTTACAATAATTACTAACTTTTTCATTTAATATAATTATAACTATTCCAAATATATTTAAAATCTAATATTATTTTTATAAATTACTATTTTCTTTAATATTAAATAGATATTTATAGTCACTTGATATCATGCAGCAAGATATATTGTTTTAAACTTTCTTTTTAATATTAGTTATATGATTATTATAGGCAAGCTAGCATTTAATTTATTGTATCAACATATAAGAAATATTGTTTCTTTTATAATATATACCTTGTCATATACAAATCAAATAAAGAAATGATGTTTATCTACAAAAAAATATATTAAACATTTAAAAATATAAATAAGATTTATTAAAACTTCTATTTTATATTTATATGATTTAAATATATTTTTTGTATTTTTTTTTAATTATTTATATTAAAAAATTTTGAAACATTTTGTGTATTTTATTGTTTTAATTAACTTTTTTAAACTTATTGTTTTAATAAAATTTATTTATATACAATATTTTTATTTTTATTAATATGCATAATTCAGTAATTTTAAATTAACTATATGATTAAAAACATTAAAATTTAACAATACATATTTTTTTTTTTTTTGCTAACTGCGCTTCAGGCGCGGGTTATTATTATTATAATAAATCCATTACATGTACAGTCTATTAACTATCGCTAATTTAACTGGTGCAATTCAATTAACCAGATATACCAACTTACACCTCGAAGGTGGGTTCATATACCGGTAACAATACATATTTTTTATAAATCTATTTAAATAATTATATTTTTTATTTTTTATATAAAAATTATCGGACATTAAAAGTGCAGAAATGACCATTTTTCTGCTCGTTATCTCCCTTAAAGTCCTATGCTCTGCTTCGGACAATAAAATTATAAACGTATTTTTAAGCATATAAACATTATAGTAATATTTATTTTTTTCGGATTATTTTGAATAAACAATTATTAAAAAAAAAAGAGGAAACAGTTAATAGATGCATTTAGTAATTACAACTCACATGATTGCATCATGACATAAATAGCGACACCTACGTTCGTACGTACAGATGTCCTTCTGCTTCTCAAAAAATGTTTAGACGTAAACCAAATTTACCAGCCCCACCTTCGCCTCTTTCATTTAATGATATTCTGTCGGACCTAACACATTTACAAGCTTATAATCAACAACCAATAGGTGAGAAAATAGATATATTAGAAATTATTAATAGCGATAGTAACGGTGAAACAAAAAATAGTGAAGCAGGTAGATATAGTATCTTAGGCTCATTGTTTTATTTTCGAAAATCATTTGACAATTTTATTTCTTACAGTGCAAATGCCAACCTTTTCACCTACTTCTCTCATCGAGCATTTGCCCAACCTATCTGTTTCGTCTTCCTCATCAATTCCACAGGAAACACTTGACACTACATATAATCTTTGTACAAATTATATAAATGTGAATAACCAATTATTAGTATCTCATAGAGATCTTGATGGGTTAGGATTGGAGATCGAAGGATTGAGGAAAGAATTAAGCGGAATGGTGGAAACTTTAGAAAGAAGCGAAGTTATAGATTGTGAAGATATGCAAGACGGAAAAGATGAGAATGAATAGTTGTATAAATTTTTTAATATTTAAAAGAGTATTTATTGTAAAAAAAACAAGAGTATTTAAATTAGATAATTTAATAGTAAATGTTTAAAATGTTTTAAAGTTCTATTTTAAAATTGTTATGAAAAAATTATATTATAAAAACCATTTTAATATATTTGTTAATATAATTTATATTGTTTAGTGAATATTATTAATAGTTTATATATAATATTAACAGAATTATAGAATCTTATTATTTTATATTATCTTTTATAAGATAATATTGAAAACAATAAAAAAGTAATTACTTCAGTAAATAAAATTAATTCGAACTTAGATCTAGTATATATAGTTTTGATAGATTTCCGTTATAACGATTGGTTTATAGATTATATTTTTATTTTTATTTAAATAATTATTTTTAATAAAATTCAAGTTTTTATATATGTTTATATATGGTTTTTTATAATAAATAACAAAAATAATATTACTAACTAATATAAAAATATTTTAATATACCTATGGATCAATAATATAATAAGTAATACTTCCAAGTCTCTAAATACATGTCTTTAATTTAATATTCACAAAGACAAAAAGTATATTTATTTTTATATACGAATTTACTAGATATTTTGCATAAGTTATATCCAATAATTCTTAACTGTAATTAAAATTAGTTAGGCTATATGAAAATAGAATCCCTAATCCTTTTGATAATTGTAAGTTAAAAACATATTGAAGCAGAAAAGATTGCATAAGAAAAACTTTTGGTTTAATTTTTATAAAAATCCATATCTTCCAAGTATAACAAATTTTATATTACAAAAAATATTCTAAACTAGAACTATCTTAATTCAATACTTGTTTAAAAAAAGAAAATCTGATTATAAAAAAAATTCAAAGCCATAGATAATAATAAAAAGTAATCTACCTTCATTAAAATTCTAAGTAAAAAATATTAAAATATCCGGATACTTTAATTATCTTTACAAGATAATATAATATTTCTTTTATAATGAATATAGTTAAAACAAAATTTAAATTAGATTAAATAATTTAAAATTAATGATAAAATTTTTATTTTTTAAAAATTCTATCCAGTATGTAGATCTATTTTTCTAAATAATAAATTGATATACTAGACAAGTCTATAAATAAGAGATCATATTAACTTAAATGAATCTAAATATATATAATATATTGGATATAAATAATTTAATAAAAAACATATACAGTATATATAATACTTTTCACTAAATAATAATAATAATAATAATAATAATTGATAAAAAAAAAACTCTTTCCACTGATCCTTTGCCAACCCAAAAAAACAGACGTTCTCAAAAGACTTTTTGTCTTTATGATAATAAAGTCTATACACTTTCCTTAAAAACAATACTGGTTTTAACTAGCCGAGCAAGCAGAAGCTACCACTTGTTTTATTTTTCTTTTTCAAAATACTTTTCTTGTTTATTTTTGCGACTAAATACAAGAAACCCACCTAAAAGGTCTATGGCAAGAACACCTTTATAGAAAGAAAACTGACAAGAAAAAATACTTTCCAAAGACTTCCAAAAGATTCAAGAATCTAGAAAAACAAAAATAAAAAAGTCTCCAGTCTTTCCATCATCTCTTTGGCTTCCCACTTCTTTTTTTTCAAGTGTGCTTCCTTTTTTCTAGTTTTTCTAGGGAATTTTGCCTACCTCAGTTTGACCCTGAATTTTTTGGTTACACCGGATTTCCTGAAAGATGATTGGTTAAGGTCACGGATTGGTTGATCATATCAGTTACAGAAAAAATAAACAAAACATGTACTCCTCACGTGTTTCCAGTCGTGCAACATCAAACCAATGATGTGATTGGTTTCTTAAAGAGTTGGATGGTTTCAAGTTAAAGTTGTGAGAAGAAGAGGAGCGACCTCTTTTGTTTCTATTATTTTATTTTTTCTTTTTTTCTTCCCTATTCTTTCTTGAAGACAGGAAGTAGCAACAAGATCTAGGTCCTATTCCAATCTGATAACAAGTTGAAGTACCGATATCTATCCCGGAAATGGTTGGAGAAAGGGATCTTGAAACTATTCACTGGTTGAATAAAGCTATAATTCTAGAAGACATGACTTGGGAGAGAAATCAACAATAAAAAACCAATATCCTTTCTGGTTAGAAGTCTTTAAGCATAAAGTTTCAAGAAATACTTTCCTGGAAGTGCCCTTAAACATTCTTGGACATCGATTACTCCATTGAAAATTAAACAGTTTAACTGGTCACAGATGATAAGAAGTGGGAATCCACGAGGGGCTTAGATTTTAAGTTCACTGAGATAACCTTTTCAATTATAGTTAGAATAGATGATAGCTTTTTTTTCTTTTCTCTTTGTCAAAAAATTCCTTTTTTATTTTTTTTTCCCCTTACATAGTTTCTACAAAAGGGGGGTAACATAATTTGGATTTATGGTCATAACTATGGAGGTGATCTGCAGGTGCTGATCCTATCGGAAATTTGGGATCTTAATCTTATTCTTTAGGAGAACAATATATTACTCCTATAAATCACATCTAGAGGCTTTGGCTAAAGATGGGTGAGTTGGGTTAGGGAAATTTGTACTTTGCATATATTCTCATGCATGTAATGGTTTTCTATAATTTAATAAATAAATGACACCAACCTGATTGCAGGATTAAAAAAATAAAAATAAAAATAAATTGTTTATGTTTGAGATATCAAATATATAATATGAGTTATAACAAAGTATGAGATAAATTAAGTGAATATAGTGAAAATTATATTGTTAACAATATTAAAATATCAGAAGCATGATTTCGATTTGCAAAATATTATTCACTAAAATATATATGCAAGCATTTATTAAAATTGGAATATGAAATAAATAGTAGAGATTATTGGAAGAATTTTGTATTTCGTATCAAAAATAATTTAACCAGTCATAAGCAAATAGGTAATGACCTCAAATTTTGGGATTTTAAAGTTCAATTAGTATTGTATAAAAAAAATCGTGCATTATTAATTATTCAGCAGACATATCATTTATGGAAAAAACAAATTAATTTTGCTAAAATAATCCAACATGCAGTAATTGAGTGGCTCTATCGATCAGGTGGATCATTTATGAAATATGCTCAAGATCGGTATTATCTAAATTCTAAATATATATCATGATAAAATTTTAAACATAAGCATTAGACATAATATGAGCATATATATAGTATGACAATTGGCTTTATTAAAGTCAAAAACATTCGAAAAGATAATATTGTTGGTATATTTAATTTATAATCCAAGTTTATTAACTTAATTATTTCAGAATAATATAAGCCAATCACGTCATGGTAGGATCGACATAGAAATTCGTAGAACATACATAATTACGTAAGTATATTATATATGATAATCGTTATTTTTTCATTCAGAAATATCTCTAACATTACACATGCTTTTACAATAAGGGTAAGTGAAAATGAACCTTGAAAAGGCAATAAGAATGAAGAATCCATTGTTTCTTATCAGTTTTATTATCAGAAATTGTGAGTTATAGGGCTTTAAAATCTCCACAATTCTGAATCGTTGTTGCATTAATCAATTTTGTATGATCAATACCTCAAAGGGATTTCATTTATGAATCTATAACTCAATAGTCTGTTAATAACATCAAATATATATAGGTTTCAGCTTTGTTCTTTTACTTAACGTTTGGTTGTATATTATACAGGTGACTAAATCATAACTGGTTTGAAGATCTTGCTATATTAGAGAATAGGAGATTTAGTTGATAAGATGAGATTCCTCTAATGAGTTCTGGATTGAGTGAAGCATTATAAATAAGCAGGATTTGAGAAGAGTTTGTTTCTTGTCTTTCCATGAATTTTTAAGGTATGTATTGAGGTTTGACTGTATAATTGTATATTGTAATTACGAAGCAAGAAAGAAAATTTAACCATTATGGGTTTTTACATGTAGGAAATATAAAATGCCTGATATTAACCTTAACTTTATTATTAAAGATAGTGGAATTGGTGATATTTTCACTCTATTTATCGATAATAGGAAGTTGGTTGAGTTTCTCAAAAATAAGATTTGAGCCAATCAATATAATTTGAATGGATTTGATCTTTACAAAAAGAATTTTTTTCAATCAAATAATGCTTTAGTCAGTACATTAAAAAATCCTATCATACATGATGAGAGACAAGAACAACTTATGAATTGGCAAGAAAGAATTTTTGAGTATTTTACTGTTTTAGAAATAGACACTCTTTAGAAAAAATTCTTCTTACTTTTTAGAAAATAGTGAAAGAGGTCCTATTAATATTATTATTTATCTCTCTATTGAATAATTGGATTTTTTTATTCATGTAATAACGATATATATTTTATAAATTTATTTTTTATATCTGCTTTACTACAGGCAAGTTTTTTGTAGAAACCAGCCTTATTGCTATGCAATAAAATAAAGTAACTGTGCACATACGTCTATCTCCTGATCAGTTTGTATAAATTTTTGCATGTATATGTATTAGAGATACTAGCTTCATTATAAAGTACCGATCACCAAAAACAGATGTGATAAAAAGTTTCCACTTGTATCGCATTATTGGAGAAAGAATCAATAACCCAAAGAAGCAGGACATTAGATGATGAATTAAAATTCGAGGCTTTGCCTCTTCAAAGAATCATGACTTAAAGGGTCTAAATATTTTTGATTTATCTGAATTACTAAAACAGATCTTATATTTTTTAGAAATTGATCGATCCCTTTATCCCGTTTTGTTTATATGTTCGATTACTAGCTAACCCCCTTTACTCACTTTTATATAATCATAAAATATTTCACTAAAGAGATCTTTTTCTATTATAGGATCTACTTGCTTATTGTGTTTCAATTTTTTTATGTATTATTGCATTTTCCTATATTGGTTTCAATTAGAGGTTTTCATGATGGCTGGTTAAAAGTTTATATGAATGAGAAGAAATAAGCAACTAATTTTTACTGTGAACGATGACACCTTACCCTTAGACACATTCATTCCTGGTTTTGTATATGAATTATGAACAGTATATATATATACTTTTGCGAAAAGAACATGGATATATATACAATGATTATCTAATAGCCTTCTGCTAATTTCTGGTGTGATTCATCCAATTAGAATAATTAAAAAAACAGAAAATTATTAACCAATCGGGATCAGTATAGAAGTTTGTGAAACAGCAATAGAGATAGTTGGTTTATTGATAATGCATTGTATTATATCTAGGATAATTGTTACATAATCTATTTCGGGACATACTACAAGCATATAATTAATTTATGATGATCACATGTCTGACAAATAACCACATCACTTTCTTTATTATTACAAATAAAATACAGAAGAATATTTATATTCTAATAATACATGCTTTAAATCCTGATTTTTTCTTGGATCGTCTTTGCCTTTTTTATTTTGTTTGTCGGGTGTTTCTTATCTAGGTGATAATATTGTAGTACTTTTTTTGATACGATACATCTTACTTGTGAGTACTTGCATTAACAGAGATAAATTGACAACCAAAATATTCTATATAAAACAAAATTAGTTTTGTTATACACAATAAATAAATAGTATATTAGAATAAATACTTGCAAATTTAACAATAATTCAATAAATTCAGGTAGAGTCGATAATGTTGGATCTGACCATTGTATAGGAATTTGTGTTTTTTTCAGATAGTAATATCGATGTATATCCAGATTATTCCTGATAAGTACAGTTACCCTAAAAAGTGATATCTGATTATCAATCAAAATCGACTTAGGTAAATATACGTTTATTTTTATTTTTTTATTCTATATACATAAAAAAAATTTTTTTTTTATTTAATTAATATTTAGTCAATTTTTCATTTGTTTTTATTATGGCATTAATTCTTCGTGGCATTGAATGCACAACCTCTCAAAAAAATGATGTATCAAATTTTGACCACTTCCGTTAGAGCAACCTTGAGCTTATTCACAATTCTTAGAAAATTTTCGTGCTTTTGAATATTGTCCTTTAACAGTTTTCAGATATTTTCGATCAGATTTAAATCAGAGGAGTTCGCGGGTCAATTGATAATTCAGATATTTTCTTTTTTAAACCAATTTTTAATGATTTTTGCTATGTGAATTAGAGCATTGTCATGTTGAAACACCAAATGTGATGATATCAAATTACGATTTTTACATTGAAATGATAAAAAATGATTTTCTAGAATCTTTTGATATGTTTTTGCAATTATTTTTTCTTTTTTTTCTTTATATTTGTCACAAAAAACTAATGGTCTTTTTGTTTCACCTATAAAACACCCCTACATCATTACTGTTCACCAGCTACTCTTAAATGTAGGTATTAAACACTCAGAATTATATCTCTCTTCTGAATTTTGCTAAACTCTTATTTGTCATAACGATTTTCCAATTTCCACACTTGTTTTATCAGAAAAAATTATGTGTAACCAATCATAGACTGTTTTGGTTTTGTTTTTTTCATATCAGTTGAGATGTGCAGTTGCATTACTTCCTGATATGAAGAGTTTTTTTGCGACGACACGAGATCAAATTCCAACATTATACAATATATTTGCTGCAGTTTGTGGGTTGTATTTAAGCTCTAGACTATTTAAAATTTTGCGTAATGATATGCAATGTTTTTTGATTACTTCTTGTATTAGCATTTCCTTTTCCTTTTCATTAAGGACTTGTAGTCTACCAGATCACAACATATTTGTTGTTTTTCCAGTTTTTTGATATTTTGCAATAAATCATCAAATTGTTGTGAGGTTTTGTCCTATTTTTTTTGCTATCTGCTCAGGATTCATATTTTTCAAATATGCAAGTATTTTTCCTTTATCAATATCAGTTAATTGTGTATGGCCGGAAGTCATAATATTTTTTAAAAAAAAAATTATGTGAAATATGTTAAAAGAGTGACAAAAAACAACAACAAAAGGATAGGTGTGAAAAATGACAAAAAGGGTAAAAAAAGTCATGATATAATTTATCATACTTTTATACTTAAAAATCGGGCGTTAATTTTTAGGGTGACTTTTTAGGGTGACTGTACATTTAACTGGATTTCGGTCCCTATAATATTACACCTTATTATTAGATCGGTAAATAATAGACTAGAGTTTTGAAATAGTCTTATTAAACTTTACCTGCGACTTGAATCCCCACAATGCCAAATTGATCTTCTTCAGGTTTACACCCTTGTCGTACCCAAAACATACCATATCGTTTGTTTCCCTCCACAATTTTACTTCATCTCTTTTTTTGATATCGCTACATAATAAACGTGAGCATTCACCAAATACAAGCTCAAATATCTTACCCTCCCGTTTTTGTAAATACATGAAATCTGGTCGTTTTCCAAAATATCCATCCCCTTTCCTATCTGCACTGGCAATGCTTTGTCGCTCCGCGCTATAATAAATTTTTAAAACGTGACTTTGGTAGTGATAAATATAATACTACTTAAATAAAACGACTTACGTGCTGATAAATGCAGATTGCCTATATGGTAGCCCTTTCAATGATGCCCGAATCGATGGGATTATTACATCTGTTACATACGTTCCCTCACTTTGTGTTTTCATAAGTTCCGGTCCAAATGCTGGATTCATCCAAACATCGGCCCTATAATCAAAATGGTATAAAAATATTATTAATTTAAGGATCTTAGAAACTTCGCCCATTTTGAAAATTACTTACACTACATCAAGAATATCCTGTGTAACTCCTATTAGGGTTTCATCCGACTCTTTCCATTTCCCATTATGCATAAGTTTTATATATAAGTCATCAGTATATTTTTCTGAAAACCTTGATACGAACTCATGGCATTTATCCTGGATCGAGTCTGTGAGTGTGGTGGCCATATTACGTGCTGGTTTCTGTTGAGAATTAATTTATATAATTTAAATGATATTACAGCAAAGTAAAACAAAGTAACTCTTACCATAAAATTTTGATACTGTTTCGGTGACAACTTTTCTACTACGATTGAATCATCACTTATACTCGACTAGCTAGAGGATCTTCCCAGGTTAGGTTTGTAATGGGAATATTTTTCACGTTTTGATAGAGTTCTACTGAAAGGGGGGATGAATCGCTCAAAAGTCTTCCTTTTAAATATCGTATATTTTTCTTTATTGTATCATCATCAAGGGGAACTTGTTTACTCTTTACATATGTATATCTTAGTTTATATTCATAGATATTATTATTACGAAAATTAATCCGTCATACCGTCTTCAACGCCTTGATACCACGTAGACTACAGATAGTTTTATAGGCACATTCGAACTGACGCAGAATAATATTATGTTAGTCTAACTTTGTAATATATAGATTATCCACCCGATTTACGCGCGCTATCAGAAATATCGTAAAGTTACCATCCTTGTTCGGCCGCCACAAGGACGATAACCTATCTAAACCTAACTCCACAGAGTCGAAACACCCTTCACTACGTTCGAAATTGTAACTTGTACTTGTAGGCTCAGGCATTTATTTTGACTTTGTCAAGTAATATCTGCGCCGTCATCATATATATGAAAAAATAACTAAAAAAAAAAAGAATAACCAACCTCTAAAGGAATATTGGAAATCTTTTTAAAGCGTTCGGAATCTTCGCCAGCAATATTTTTCATGGACCGAATTGCGTCAATCGTCAACTTTAAGAGTTCATCTTTTGATATTGTTTGGTCTTCTTCCGTGCCTTTATAAATTACCGATCCTGCTGTAATATGCTTTACTGGTTCATCTTTCATAAAGTCCAAAATTCTATTAAATATGGTAGTCGACATATTCAGTTGCAGAAGTTTTTTGGTAGACTGTTAGTTTGTAAAGAATTCACAATAAAGCGACGAACAACCACAACGTAAATATACTGTCCTTTTAAAACGTTCCCTCCGCCTCATTTAGGTATGGGAGTAGTGGCAGGCATGAAGTATCTTTTCTTCCGAAATAGATTTAGGGAATGTGAAAATGCATACACCACGAGTTAGTCAATCGAATTTGGATTTATATGTCATGGCAAACTACTAACAATCGGTAGGTTACACGATTAAATCATGCATGCTGATGTTCTATGATCTTCAATTTTATTTTGTGATATGACGGAAATATATTTCGAAGTAATGGCACTCAAGTGCCTGATGTATTACGAAATCAAGAGCGTTAAGATTGTCGTTGGTCTATTGACAGATCTGGTAACAGTCAATAACTCGCCAGGGCTAGGATCAAAAAATTTACCCAGAAATAGCCGGTAGATAGTTTGCCGCTTCATGTATTTTTATATTGTATAAATAAAGCAATCAGATTTAAATGGTAGTCGATAATTAATTTTGCGTATGATAATGAGTATTTTTTGAGGTTTCATTCGGGACTGTGGGATCATGATTCCACCATTTGAGATCATCGCCCAAGATTCATTCGAGATCACTATCCGAAAATATCAATTCCCGTTAATGACTAGAGCTAATAATAACCAATGCGTTATAAAAAACAGGTAGAGAACTAGTCAGTTGGTTTATATCCTTAATGGTTATGGATTTTTCTAATCTCAAAGCTCTTGCATATAATATCCTCAAAATCGTAGGAGATACTATAATTCAAGAAATCGAAATCCCAGAAATCCCTAAATGCTCAATATGCACCAAGGATATCTTAGTAGTTGGTTATAATGCATTTACTACACTCGAATGTGGACATATCTACCATAGACTTTGTATAGAGAAAAAACTTCTACTCACCATGCCAAATAAGTGCCCCTTCCCTAAATGTGAAAAAAGCATTGAGATTATTCATTGAAGTCCAAAGCAATCTTCTCAATCAAGTGGAATTTCTGCTCTGGCTGACAGAATGGGTAATGATCTTGGATTGACTTCTCCTGTGTTTCCGCTTAACGATCAAATAGAGTCACTATTATTGACTGGAGTTAATCGTGACATTGGTCCAATATTATTCAGTGAGGTACAAAAAAAACGAATTATGAAGATGACCGATGAACCACCTAATAAAAAAAAGAAATCTGTGAATAGAGATTATTCTCCTACAGTGGCGATCATAAGTAATGGAGCAAAAAAAATTTTTTTGTTAGTTTACATTATTTTATGCAATTATAGACATTTTCTTTTACTTTTTTTAAAATTTGTTCGCAAATACTTACTTTTTTTAGTATTGAAGTTTTAATAATTATTATAACTGTCAATACTGTTAGCGGGGAAATAGCTTCGGTAAGGCCTGGCAACGCGACATTCGTGTAACGCGCCTAATCGGAGTAACGGAAATGCTTTACAAATAGACTCAAGACCTAATAAAAAGCT